GACGTCACAACTGTCAGCTGAAGCGCGGGAAGAGGCGAACGTACGTCTTATGAGGATGAGCAATCCTATATTATTAAATGGTGCGCCATCTCTTGAAACGTTGGTGGAAAATCCCGATTGTTGTAAACGAACTTTCTGAAAAAAAAAGAATATTGCAGATATATCCGGAACGGAAATTACGAGAACATCCGCTGATGTATTTAAAGAATTTCCCGCGCTCGAAAAAGTCAGTCAGGTTGAGGAAAAATCATACGGTTTTGGAGTAAGCGAATTAGCGACTAATTGGCGAAGGTGCTAGAAAAAGTTATTAGTGTGTTGTGTTTATATAGTCGGAAAATAAATTAATTAAGTGTTTTATCGTGTGTTTTGAATTAAGGTCCCATGGAATACGTAACAATGTTTTATTAAGTACTTAAAATAGGAATTTTATGGTATTTGCCCATTGTATTTGATTTAAAAAGTATATTTTTACCATGAAAATGGGTATGAGTCTGGTCTACTATTGCCAGGTATTCTGTAATAGAAACATTAATGTGAAAATACGAGATATAAAATCTGATATGGCATTTTTTAGAAACAGTGGGTATAAACCCTCCTATGTAAAAGGCATTTGTTAATTCCTTTAAGGTATAGTTGAAATAAAAAAATAAATTAATAATAAAACAAGATTTTAACAAAAATAATACTCTTTTATTTGGAAGAAAATTCAAAAAGTTATATAGAGAAATAAAGAGAATACTGTACATGGCACACAGGCTTTTTCAACAACAGAACTACACATTCATCAATACTTCCTCGATCCTATTTCGATCTTTTCTCCTTTGGTGTCCCACTTCCTCAACTTGACTTCACGGTCCTTTTCACCCCAGGTGTACTCTTGCTTTACTTCTTCACCATCTCTTTGTTCGGAACGTTCTTTCTTGTCTTTGGTGTGAGGGTCTTCGACGCCATATTTGAACTCGTACTTGGGGTATGCGCGGTAGTCGAAGGACTTGTATTCTAGTGCGCAGCAAGCGACGATCAGCAGGGCGAAACAGATGAGAATTCTCATTTTATCGTTATGTTTTAAGTTAGGGATATCTTATAGCACTGTAACTATTGAGACTGAACTGGTGATTTTAAGCTGAATTTTGGGTTTTATAGGTATTTGTTGGCGACACGTTCACTTCATTTCAATATTTAAAAGTACTGCGGCTGAAAAATGCGAAATTACTTCAGAAATCGATTGGGTATATAAGGAATTGGCTTCTTAAGCCGGCTTTGGTAACGAGTAATATGGATATTTGCGTTTAAATTGGGTGATAATATTATTAATTATGTATGTGCATAATTAAGTTGTGACCACCATTCATTAAATATTGTCTATGTTTTTTTATGTCCGCTACTAAATCTGAGTATTTTGTTACTGAAGAAAAAGACAATATTTATTTAATATAAGTCAGCGCCCCCTAGCGTCTACCGTTATATGCTTATTATTATTGTTTATACGGTATAATATAGAGTAAGGAACGCTTTTTAAACGAGCTTTAATTTGTTGAATTCCGATCATCCAGTTGGGAGTTTGGTTAGTTAGGTTAGGTTATGTTCTCACCCTGTATACTGTATACCAAACGTTTCAGTATTAGTATCAATAAATATAAATCAATTTTAAATCGACAATTTTAAAGAATAAGATACATTAGTAATGAAGTTAATTTCCATGAATATGTATTTTCTTGTCTGAAAACCCTCATATATATTTCAGTTCAATAATAAAAAAAATATATCTAAATATACATACCTATACGACCGAATACAATTAAACAACATCAAATGTCCTTACCCCAATTTAATGTCAACCAGATAATAGAAAAAATTGAAATATTAATGCCAATTAGCAAATAATATAACGGTTCAATAACACAAAGCTCACTATAAAAACATCCCCCTGTACCATAATCTGTATCAGTCTTTAGTTTCGCACACCAACATTAACAACAAACCCTAATAATCTCCAAAGAAGAAAGATGTCCAAAGTATTGCTTGTCCTAGCCAGTGTGATAGCCCTCTGTGCTTGTCTGGAGTACAAGTCATCAGTGGACTACTACTCCTACCCCAAGTATGAGTTCAGGTATGGGGTTCATGACCCCCACACCAAGGACTTCAAGGAGCGTTCGGAATACAGGGATGGTGACCTTGTCAAGCAGGAGTATACTTGGGGTGAGAAAGACAGAGAGGTTAAGGTCTTCAAGGTGGACTCTCATGTTAGACCTGTTGAAAGAGGCTACAAGTATTATTAGGTCGTATTTTATTGTTTTGTTTTACGTATTTTTTGTTTGTCTTTATTTGTTTTTGATTTATTTTTTGTTCAGTTGATTTTTTTGTTTTATTATTATTCATTCCTGTATTTCTAATATATTATTCTTTGTAATTTTTATTGTGTGTTTTTTCGCTTCTTATTATCTCTTTGTGAGTTTTTTTATGTTATTTATTTTGATTATATTTTTCTTAATTTAATTATTTGTTTTTTGTTATAATGCGAAATATAGTTTTTGGACAAAATCAAATATTTTGCTCTACTTGTGTACCTGAAATATATAATTTTAGATTTAGTTTTTATTTTCTATATGATAGATGAATGAGAAAATTGTACTTTTGTTGAATATTCTTGAAAAGAAATTGTTTAAAAAATGTATCCTTTTTTGTTAAAGTATTAAATAGTGGCAGAGAAATATTATTAACATAATTTTTAAAAATAAAAGCAGTGGTACAAGAGTTATACCGTATGATCCAAATAAAAAAACGGCGTCCAGTTGGCTTGGAGATGACGATCAGTGACATTCTCCATTTAATTATTTAATTATACACAAATAATTACAGCGATCTTAATTTCTAAGCCATATCTGGCGCTGTTTTTTGCGATTCTTCAGCATTATTAAATGAAATATATTCATTGCTACAAATAAAATATAATTGAGATGGAACCTTTAGTAATTTGAACAGAAAATTACAAAAATCTACCACAATACACCAAAAGACTTCATTTTATACATTAATACCGAAAATTATAATCTCACAGCCATTTCAATATTATATTTTTCAATATAATTTGTACCGTAATATCGAAAAAAAACGGCCTCTTTGGGGATTGACAATTGATGATAGTTTTTGAAAGAAGAGTACAGGTCAAGTAAATGACATCTAGAACTTGACTTCGCCAATATTACTATCGATTGTCATTCCCCAGCCGTCTTTGACGCCTTTTTCTTTTCGATCGTATGGTGTTTTGCAATGAGATCTCTACAGATTTCAACCTTCTATTGAAATCATAAAAAGCCATATGACCAAAATGTCGACAGTGTTGACTAGCCGTGATAGTGGTTGTACTCGCATTTTTAATCTATGTAGTTCTGTTTAACTAAGTAAACGAGCGAAATATGCATTTGGGGTGTAAAAATCACCAATTTGCATTACCACTAGCTAAATTTCGAATTACAATTAATGTTAAAATTATTTTTATAAAGCCGAGTCCTGATTTAAATATTATGTTACTTTCTCTGTATTTGACAATAAACATATCAATGTGCCAATGTGCGTATATTAATTTCATTTTTGTTCTTGCTAAATGAACAAGTATAGATAGATATATAAAATACTTAACGAAAAAAACTTATATAGCCGAAAAAAACTTATAAGCCGAAACATATATGTAGAGTTAAAGTTACTCTTATTAAAAAAAAATTTGATACATCTATAAGCGTGTTTTATTAAAATCAAATTTTAAGTGAGGATGCAGTCAATAATCACCATACAGGCTAATAAAACTACTTTTTCAATTTGTCAAGCTTTCGAGAATTTTATTCCCATATTCAGGACAGTTTCTAAAATGTATAAATAAAAAAGGCATTAACATTTTGCAAACTGCAACCTGCTATTTTTTTTAAATACTTACCACATATATTTTTTTGGTAATTCAATTTGAAAAAATAATTATATTATCTATATATGTATATAAATGGGGATGATACGTTCAAAGTGTACTTGGACCAAGTATACTTGGATGCTGCCATATTTTATTATAAGTAGAGTAGGTATATAATACTCTACTTATAATCATGCTGCGCGCGCCTCACTTGCGCTTTTTAAGTGTTTGATCAAAGTCGAGTTAGAAGGCTTTTTAACATCAAAGTAGGCTGGCATAAAAATCGTGTAGGTATAATTTTATTTTCAATAATGCTTTTTTGTAATCACCTACTTAAAACTTAAATTAGTTACTTTATATTTACCACTGTTAATGCTTAAAAAAACGTAACGTCACTTACCGCCAAAATATAAATTTGGAGTTAGTCTACTTTTTTGCAAACTAAGCACTGGCGAACCATCTTTGGTATTAAAAAAAAACTAAACAGTTCTGTTGCAAAAAAAACAGTATAAAAATTATATACTTGAACACACAAACACACTTCAAACGTTTACTATTTATCGTAAAAACCATAGTAATTAAAAAACAGTAATTTAATTTAATTAAATTTACTGTTTTTATTGGAAAACTGAAAATAATTTAAAAGATATGATCTATGTATTTTGACTAAAATGATACGATTGCCGTTTCTATGGGTATTTTCTAAAAATGATAGCCTCGTTTTCAAACACAAGCCTAATATCGCAACCCGTATCTTACGCAATCCGCAGAAATTTGTCATCATTGATTTTTGTTGAAAAAGTTGTTTGATCGCAATAAAATTAAATAGTTTGTCTCCTTTTAATGATATTTATGTTTTTGGTTACTCTTCACTCAATAACAGCATAGACGTTAAAACTAAAAACTCTGGCTAATCCCATCCACAAAAAAAATTGTAAATAAAAATTTTCTAGCCTTTATTTAAAAATGTCAAACGTCATTTTTAGCGTCGTTCTCAAAGTTAATTAGACTACCATAAGATACGGAAGATGCTGTGATCATAACCTTGTAAAATTGAGAATAATTTAAAATGTTCAGAATTGGTTGTTTTTTGTTGCAGAAAACCTGGCGCCTTCGGAACTGAAAAAGCTGCGCAACAAGCAGAGGAAGGCGAAAAAGAAGGCGGAGCAAGAAAGCGCGCAGGCGCGCGAAGCTCAGGTCAAAAGGGACCAACACCATAAATCTAGGCAGCAGGGTGACGTAGAGGCGGATGCGCCTCAGCTGGACGAACTGATTCCAGATAAGCTGGCGCGAGTAAGTATAGATAGAACCAGTGCTGCCAACTTAAGAGGCGTCCATACATTAATGTACGTTTTCTGGATCTGTGTCTACGACAGGAATTTCAAGGATGCAGACACAATATTGGAGTTTGATCAATTTACTATAAAACATATTTCAATAAACAGCAATATATTGCTACTTATACAGGGTGTCCCAATATTCCGTGGACACAGAACTACTGTGTATTTTTGGAATCAAAATAAGTTCATTGAACACAATTTACCTCTATACAAAAGTGCTTCGTTTGTCCGCTAGGGGGCATGAAACTTATCATATCTGAAAAAAATATAAACATTGTTTTCAGATATTTTAAAAACCGTTATTCCGATTTGAATGAGATTTCGGGTGTCTATGTTTTACTAAGTGCTCTAACATTTGGCTTTCACAAAAATCATGAAAAAGTACGGAAGTGTATAAACTTCCCCCACTCCTACATAAATTTTAGTATAAATATTTTCCAATTCCACCGACGACCGATTTTCTTTTCTTAAAATAGTCCCTCTAGTATTTACAACATTTATAGTCTAAAAAACGCCACCATGCATACTTTTTGAGGAAAAAACATATTTTCCAAAGCTGGCTTCCAAAAAATGTTTTTTTTTGTCACATCAAACTACGGATATTATTATGTTCTAATAATATAGTTGGCGAAAATATCAATAAAATAAATAAATAAATGCCTTTATTGTCAAAAAATTTTTCAATTTGTAGACAAAGGTAAACTAACAAACAAAGTAAAAAAAACAAGGTACACAAACAAACAAACAAAAGATAATACAAAACATTATACAAATAATATTGTCAGTCTTATTGTTAAAATAAACATTTATAAATGTTTATAACGTCAAAGAACAAAAAAATAAAAATAATATTCAAAAATATTTAGCTAGTTTATAGTAAAATATCAATGACCTCTAAATAAATTCATTTCGATGTCATTAGTAAATATAGCAATAGCAAACATTAGACCAGTGTTTACAAGATCAAATTTGATTTTCAAAATATAATTCATTTACGGCGTAGAAAGCCTTGTGTAGTAAATAAGAGTTCAATGCTTTGCGAAATGAAAAAAATGATGTTATGGATTTGATTTCAAATGGCAGGTGATTGTGCATTTTTTTCGAGTTGTATAATATTGAACTTTTAACTAACTCTGAGCGTGGGGTAGGTAGATAAAGATCTTGCTCCGCGTTCCTGAGTGGATAAGTGTGAGATGGCCTTTCTTGAGAAGCTGATACATATGGAATTTTATGTTAGTATTACAAATTATTATTTAGCAATAAGCTTCGTAAAAAGCTTAAAAAATTAATAACTTTTAAATTAACGCTCGAGTTTATTTTTGATTGATGCCATCTAACGGACAAACAAATCACTTTTGCATAAAGGTAAATTATGTGCAATTAACTTATTTTATAGTGAGCTCCAAAAAATACTTAGTTGTTCTATATCCACGGAATATTGGAACTCCCTGTATATTTTAGTAGGTCTGCTTTGGAAAAATAAATTCTCCAAAATTTTTTTTCACAAAAACTATGCGATATCACGTTTTTACAAGAGACAAAAAATTGGGTAAATGCTAGAGGGACCATTTTATGAAAAGAAAATCTGTCGTCGGTGTAGTTGGAAAATATTTATACTAAAATTTATGTAGGGGCGGGTGTAGTTTTCACCCTTCCCGTACATGATTTTTGTGAAGGCCAAATGTTAAAGCACTTAGCAAAACATAGACGTCCAAAATCCCATTCAAATAGGACTAACGGTTCTTGAAATATCAAAATGTGTTTTTAAAGTTTGATGCCCTCTAGCGGACAAACGAAGCACTTTTGCATAGAGGTAAATTGTGTCCAATGAACTTACTTTGATTCCAAAAACATGTAGTATAGTTCTATGTCCACGGAATAATGGGACACCCTGTATACACGCGGTCCACGTGGACTTGGCCGAGTATGTCACCGCAAAACATACTCCGCCCGCTCATTACATTGGCCATTTGCACATCTGTCGAATTTTTGTACGTGAACGGTAGTAGCCCGAGCTCGGAGAACAGTGCAGTCGTTATCGGTAAAATAGTTGCACGATTTTATTATTTTTTTTATTGTTTTTCTTCTTAATGTTTTAATTTTTATAAAGATTATGTCTCATTACCCACATTACTGAGCACCTTTATATTACTGAACCAGTTGCCGCCACTGCAAAGTAATACTACTTTATTGTTTGTTACAGGTGGACGATCCTTTAGATCAAGCCATCAAATTTTTACAGCCTTTACAGACGCTGGCCAGAGATCGAATCGAAACGCATCTCATGGCCTTCGAAGTGTATTATAGAAAAAGTAAGTCTCTTTTTTACAAGACGTATTTTTTATATATCTATATTAACCACTGTTCTCTGTATATTACAGGAAAAGTACTGTTAATGCTTCAGTCAATCAAAAGGGCTCACAAAGTCGATCCCAAACATCCGAAGCTACACAGTTGTTTAATACGATTTTTACAGGTGGTCAAAGAAAATCAATCGACCTTTGATCCAGCTGTATCGGAAGTGGTAAGTTTCTATTGTTTTTGGTCTATTTTTGTTTTAATTTTTATTTTTATATATTTTTTTTTGGTCATCAATGATTCAATACTTTTTTTGTTTTTTTTTGACAGATAACGATAGAAACCAAATCATTGTTAAGCACCAAAGACGCGAAAACGTTGAACAAAGAATTCTTGGACAACCATAAAAACAGTTTAAAAGCTGCACTAGAGGGCGCAATAGTTATGTATCAGTTGGAGGAGAAGAGCCAAAAGGAGGCGCTTAGTTTGGTTACCGATATAGACAATAATAAATTTAATGATGTAGATATTGAAGTAAGTGAATCAATTTCTTTAATCCTATAATTTTAATAAATTTTATTTCTCACTTGGCCCCAGATTAGGCATATTTTTGTCTAATTGGCCACGAGCTATTATTCTTCTAGTATTCTCTTAGCTACTGTATTAAGACATTGACAAAATTTATCGGACAATTATTAACTATAATAATATGTTTTTGTTTCAGATTTGTACAGATATTCTTAAATCGCTGCGTAACGGCGAAATAGGCAGTTGTACCCCCAGCCAACTAGACTCGTTCGTGCAGCGTTGCCACGCGAGGTACCCGTACGCCGCCGCCTTCAAACCGCCTCAGGAAGCTCAAGAGCCGACGACGGATCCCACTCAGACCAATCACGTGTCGGATCAGGACTGCTGCGGCAACTGATCCAAGGCTTAGAGAACGTCGACATGTCCCATCTAGGCGGGTAGTGTTTTTGGCAGTCTTTTTCCGCGATCCGTGCAGTCCATTTCGTATATTTTCTATTTTTACACGCCCTCCCGTAAGTCTAGAAAGAGTATTACAAACGGAAATCTAACCTCAAATTCCTCAATGATCGCAGAAATGGTCTGGACGCGTTTGGGTAAAATCGTACTGACTAAATCGGAATATCCTACTTTAGAATCGTTATTCAAATGATGCGCCAGCGTAAATCAAACCAAAAATAAAATGTTTCTTACGAAATGACCCCGGTATCTTCGGTAGTTCAAATGAACCGCTCGCTATACGAGGGGGGTACCGAAAGAACTAGTTCGTATTGAAGGGTTTAATAAGGTGCAGTGACGGCGGTGTCTGAATAAATAAAAATAAAATAGTTATCGTGACTTGTGTGGATCGTTTAAATATAGTGTTTTTATAAAAAAAAATTCAAGTCATTTAAGTTAAGCAGCCTTTTAAGAGGTGTATATGTAAATATGGACTTGTTTAGATAAATGCCTCCAAAGAAAAGATGTTTTATTTTTCATTCAAGTTGCCTCATGATGTATAATTTGCGTTTTAAATAGAGGAAGAATTATCATGGGGCAATTTGGAACTCTTGCGGAAAACACGATAATTAAATTATCTACAATTTATTATTTATATGTCGATCTTTGCTTTTTTTTATTTGTATAAAGGTTGTAAATTAATTTAAATCTTTGTTTTGTTTTACGTAAGGACCGTAAAACGGCTAGTAGTCGAAAATAAACGAGTAAATAAGTGAGTTGGACTTGAATATTTTATTTATTGTGGCGTATTTTAGTGTATTTCAGGAAGAAACAGAAATTAAAGGCTTTTATTTTCAGAACTAGGACATGTAAAAAACGTTTGTTTCTTTTTATGGTCTGTTTTTTTTAATGATGTGGATACATTTACGACAAATGTTTTTAGCAGCCTTTTTCCACAAACTGTGCGGTCCATTTTATATATTTTCTAATTTACACCCTCTCCCGTAAGTATACAGAGAGTATTACAAACGGAAATCTAACCTCAAATTCCTCAATGATCGCAGAAATGGTCTGGACGCGTTTTGGTAAAATCGTACTGACTAAATCGGAACATCCTACTTTAGAATCGTTATTCAAATGATGCGCCAGCGTAAATCAAACCAAAAATAAAATGTTTCTTACGAAATGACCCCGGTATCTTCGGTAGTTCAAACGAACCACTCGCTATACGAGGGGGGTACCGAAAGAACTAGTTCGTATTGAAGGGTTTAATAAGGTGCAGTGACGGCGGTGTCTGAATAAATAAAAATAAAATAGTTATCGTGACTTGTGTGGATCGTTTAAATATAGTGTTTTTATAAACAAAATTCAAGTCATTTAAGTTAAGCAGCCTTTTAAGAGGTGTATATGTAAATACGGACTTATTTAGATAAATGCCTCCAAAGAAAAGATGTTTTATTTTTCATTCAAGTTGCCTCATGATGTATAATTTGCGTTTTAAATAGATGAAGAATCATCATGGGGCAATTTGGAACTCTTGCGGAAACACGATAATTAAATTATCTACAATTTATTATTTATATGTCGATCTTTGCTTTTCTTATTTGTATAAAGATTGTTAATTAATTTAAATCTTTGTTTTGTTTTACGTAAGGACCGTAAAACGGATAGTAGTCGAAAATAAACGAGTAAATAAGTGAGTTGGACTTAAATATTTTATTTATTGTGACGTATTTTAGTGTATTTCAGGAAGTAACAGAAATTAAAGGTTTTTATAGTCAGAACTAAGACATGTAAAAAACGTTTGTTTCTCTTCATAGTCTGTTTTTTAATGATGTGGATACATTTATGACAAATGTTTTTGGCAGCCTTTTTCCACAAACTGTGCGGTCCATTTTATACATTTTCTATTCTTACACCCCCTCCCGTAAGTCTACAGAGAGTATTACAAACGGAAATCTAACCTCAACTTCCTCAATTATCACAGAAATGGTCTGGATACGTTGGGTAAAATCGTACTGACTAAATCGGAACATCCTACTTTAGAATCGTTATTCAAGTCATGCGCCAGTGTAAATCAAACCAAAAATAAAATATTTCTTACGAAACGACCCCGGTATCTTCGGTAGTTCAAATGAACCGCTCGTTATACGAGGGGGTACCGAAAGAACTTGTTTGTATTAATCGGTTGAATAAGGTGCTGTGACAAGCGGTGTCAATATTTACAAGAGCTGGTATCGGCTGAAATATAATTCAACACCATATAAATTAAGCTTTGTTTTAACGTTTATCAAGTGAAGAGAAGAGTCAGAAATCTTAATGCTATTTTTCTAAATAGTTTATTATAATTATTGTTATTTCTTTATCCATATAAAAGATATCTATAGTAGGACTTTTGGTAGTTCAAACGTCCCACTGACATTAACAGTGGCGTAGTATAGGGAGTAGGTACAAGGGTATTAATCTCAAAAAAACTAAGATATTTTGTTCATAAATAAATGATGTTTTATTTGTTTCATTTTATTACTACCTTGTATATTCACACGTTACAGAGTATTATGTTTACATTTTATATTCTTCTCGTTTTTGGAATGTATTATACAATCAAAATCAAAATAATAACAAAAGAATAAACAAAACAGGTTTATATCGGAAGCCAAAGTACAAAGAAATTCCACATTTTCGAAGTTATATAATTTTTTATATATTTTGTACAATATTTTATGATGAACAAATATCTTTTTATAGGTTTAAAATTTAAGGCTAGTGTTTTAATTGTTTACACTGGTCTTAAATTTATTTTAATTGGTTAAATATTCTAAGATGGCCACGCGAACATGTCAATCAAATTTTTCTACAAGGTGTTCAATAAAAACCAAAAAAAAATATTTTATTAAACATCTTGTTGGAAAACGGTAAAGTCTTTCTAGTAAAAAAGAATAATTTATTATATAAAAAAGGGAGATGAATATATATACATTATGTATAAAATTTATATTATCTTGTGTCTCTATTAATTATATCCGACACATTTATATACAAATTATGTATATTATGTATGTTATACCTAAGTTTTAATTAAGTACGTGTTATATAAACATTTTAATCTCTAAAAAAATTCACGTTCAATGCAAAATTGGTCGATTTCTCTCTTCAGTTCGTCTAAAGTGTGCAAAAACGCTCTAAAAAATGGAATGGATAAGAAACACAGTCTTGACTAGTCGCCATTTTTTTAGGTTAAATAATAAAAAATCAGATAAACTGAATTATTTCTACGGTTACTATGACGTCGTTTTTTTTGAAAATTTTTATCCGAGAGTTTAGACTGTTAATTTCAATAATGGCGACGAGTCGTATACAACTAAAATTAAAAAATAGAAAATAGTTTTAAATAAAATCAAATTAAAAAAACACCTAAAAATAAAATAAATGCATCAAAATTGCACGATGAATGACTAAGATTTTTATCACTTATTAAATTCAATATTTACGGGATAGATATAAATTTTTTTTGTCTCTGAAAATGTCTTTTTACCCCATCTTATCATTATCGTTTAGCTTAATAAAAACAGGCACAGTGGGCTAAAATATACAACGTCGTTTTGAGCAGTACAAACCACTATTTTTCTTTAAATTTAAATATATAAAACATTGAGCTACGATGCGTAATACTTTTTTAATGTACTCAATTTTAAAATATTTTTTGATTGATTTTTCGTTAATGACTAGACATATATAACATGCGACTGTCAAAACGTTTTTTGACAGAAAATTTCAGTTTTTTCTTTTAAGATTGAGTATTCGTAAGCTATAGCTTGTCATTTTACTACACTATAACAATAGTTTTTGTGATTTAAACTGATTTCAGGGAATCCCCGAAAATATACATTTTTCTCAATAAACTGTACAAATATTTTTTTGTTACAATAATAAACAAAGTTTTATAAGTATTTAGGACTAGTTTTAGAAAATGGTTTACATAAAATATTGCTTCTGTCTATAGAAACTTAAGGTTCTACATTTTTATACAGGATGGTTTAGTTCTTGTGATAGAACAGATCATCCTGTATATAAATAGCTGCATTTATCAAAATGAGGGCAGTCAAAAATAAGGAATTTAAATACATACATTTTTTTCTGGAAAATAGTATAATCAGTCAAATTATAGGTTCATTTTGATAAACGTTTAGTCTGTTAAGGCCTTTACACATTAACTTAGTTGCTTTAATAAGAAAATTCTTGTACCATACAATACCTTAGCTATTCAGAAGCGAAAATACGCGTCTGCTCCTTTGAAGTATGCGTCCTAATTTATTTAACCTCGAAAGCATAATATTTTGACAAATAAACTCACTTGTTTTACAGTTGACAATTTAAACTCACAGAGTTTTTCAAGTAGAATTCAGTGGCGTATAGATTGTAACCAAAAATATAAGAAAAACACACTGAAAACTTAGTCCACAAAAAATCACAGGTGTCGCTTATAGTCTAGAAAGTATTTTAAGAAAGCTGGCTCTTTGATATATCTTTTACTATGCTCTCTGGAACAGCATGCGGGCCTTCTAGCTGCCGATACACGTTGCATTCACTACTGCGCATCGGAAGAAGATCCTAAATTTTTTTATTTAGTCCGTTAAATTCTAGTATTGAATATAAATCGAGCAAGTCTCAAATAAAATAGTTCTATACCCCGAGCCGGTCTCGAACTCGGACTCCTCGCTTCATAGGCGGAACCTCTGCGCGCCGCGCTATGGAGACTTGCTCGATTTATATTCAATACTAGAATTTAACGAACTAAATAAAAAAAAATATAGGATCTTCTTTCGATGCGCAGTAGTGAACGCAACGTTTACCAGCAGCCAGACGGCCAGCACGCTGTTCTAGAAAGTATTGTAAAAGATATATCAAAGAGCCAGATGTCTTAAAATACATGTTTTTCCGACGTTGCTAGCTCTCGTACTATTATGTATGGTTAGGTACCGTAAAATGGGGGGAATAGAAACATAGTGGTGAATAGAAACAAAATTTCTGAAAAAAATCAAATCACGATTAAAAATATTCAAAGTAAAAAGAGTCGACATATCTAATTTTTCTATCATTGGTAATACACAATAAAACGTAAAAACTATATTTTTATCTGTGGCAGCACTGTTTCTGTCAATCAGCTGATCAATAAATTGAGATCGATTTATCACCTATTTTGTATGGCGCGAAAACTTTATAAATAAAATATTTATTTTTAAAGTAATACATAAGCCGGTACATATAAATTGTTATATTATATGTATTGTTAATTATTGTTAAACCTACTTAAATATGTAATAATTTACTGTTTCTAATCACCTTGTTGGAAATAGAATAGATAAAAACCTTAACATAATGTGTGTTTCTATTCTCCCGAATAGCAGGTGAATAGAAACACAAATGTTATTTTTATTTAATATTTATATGCATATTTTTCAAAAATCAAATTATATGTATACGCAAAGAACAAACAAAGACACATGTTTTAAAATATTCGGGAAAATAATACCACATTTTTATCAACCGGTATATCGCCAATAGCCTACGAAACTGTTTCTATTCACCCCATTTTACGGTAATTCTATGTTTGTACTTCGATGTAATAATGTTGGTATAAGAGTGTTAAAATATATTATGTGATATATTTCTCTTGAAAGTATCTTCAAAATTTTGAATTCGTAGTGAAATATAACGAGTTGCAAAATTTCGTAAATTAGCATAAAAATAAAAGACCAAAAGTATTGAGTCTCATCTAAAATCTAAAAGTTCATGCATAAAGGCCTTAACATTAAGGTCAATTCAAATCAGTAACTATTACGACATAAATTCGCGATCCATTTCAGCCAACGATGGCCTCTGTCGATTTCTCCGAGCTTGCAAAGGTATGGTCGTGTCCAAATTCTGACCAGGTACAGGTAAATCCATCAGGGTAGTCGGTGAAAATCTCACCCTTCAAACAAAAGATCCGACTTTTAACTGACTAGTATATCGTCAGTGAAACGTGATAACCTGCTAACTCCATTTTTTACGTTAATAAGTTATTTTATACCATTAGAAAAAGAAAAAAATACTCTATAAGTAGGGAAAGCAAACACATTTTTTTCCATTAAAGAAAATTTTTTATTTTAACTCAATAATATCTGCTAACTCCTAGTGATCTGAAATAGCCACCGAAATGCTGCTATCTCCGTAATTTCCGTTACGATCCCGCTAAAGCAAACAACCAGATTCTTAGTCGTATGTTTTTTAGTAGAGTACGTCGATCCAGGGTCGCACTAGACTAAAGAGGCCCGGGTGGCAATGTAAGGAGGGGCCCGTGTTTTTTTTTGCGTAATTTTTCGCCTTAAGTTTTGGTCAATTTTTCCCTATTATATACAGGGTGAGTCTTAAATAAGTGCAAATATTTTTAGGGTAGTATGTTTCGACCCAAGAAACACGATTATGAGGTTCTTTGCGCGAATGTTTTTTTTTGAAAATTTGAAATTTAAAAAAAAATTGGATTTTTATTTAATTTTTAGTTTAAAAACATACTTTGTTTGTAATATGGTAACATAGGTAGTAGATTAAATTTACAAGAAAGAAAATCCAATGATTCTCAAACTTATAGTAAAAAACTGGAAATTTTAAAAGTGAAATAACTCGGTTGTTTTGGATTTATTTGAAAAAACGGCGAAGAGAAAATATTATGTTTCTTTTATCGAGATTTACCAGCCCTGAACATATTTGCATTTATTTAAGACTCATCCTGTATAGAAATCAGGGAACTATGCAAATTCCATAATGCAATGCAAAAGCAAATATTGTTAAGAATAAATAATGAACTATAAAGGGGGCCTGCGAAGGCTGGGCCCCCCCTAATAGTTATCTATATAATATGGCCAGTCCGACCCTGCGTCGATCCGTTCTGTAAATACGGGGTATCCGTAAAGGGTAAGGGGAAAAACGAAATTCTCTATATACGAGCAATTCATCGGCGTGCTATTAATAGTTTAAATAACATTACTTACTTGTACAAGAGTTTCCATAATACCTAATGAGTTTTATTTTTTTCAACGTTTTTTCACGTAAATGATACATAATTTTTATAAAAAATAAAAAAATAAGGAGAAAAATAATAAAAATTTAATAAAATCACGCACTAGTCTTCCAAGCTCGGTCTACTACCGTTGTATAAAAATTAGGATAAGCATGGAAGGATTCTACCACATATTCTAAGAATTATAAGTTTAATTTGTAAATTATTTTCATATTCATTAAGTCCAAAATTCTGCTACTTCAGTTCTTTAAAAATGCAAAAAGTTTTAAAATTTTCATTAAAAATTTATTCGTTTTTGGACTTGTAGGTTTTGCTTCTATAGACCGACGATATTATAAATATATGGTTATGAATATCATATTTTTTTAAATTTAATTGATTATTTCTATATCTATGTGGGTAATATTCATTTCCATTTTCAAAACTTCAAACAATAAAGGTTGCTATCTCCAGAAGTATATCTTTATTTCTTATTTCTACAAGACGAATATCTGCTATCTCCCTATTGTATCTGAAAAAAATGACGTAACACGAAATATTGAGTTTTATTGTTCCCCAGCAAATAAAATTCTTATCTCTTTATCATATTAAGGCATCAAAAAACTTCCTACACGTGTACATATTTTTTTGTACCGTTATTTTGCTCTCCTGTAAAATTAGGAATAATGGAGTTAGCAGTTTATCACGTTTCACCGACGATATTACATAATAAAAGTAGCCACACACATTCGGTTTTTTCCTAAGGTTTGTACTGCGCAGTCCAATCCTTGAGATATAACCCAGCATGTATAGTGAAGACCTTGGCCTGCATAGGACAAACTCTAAGTCTGTGGTAGTATCGTAAGTTAATTTTCCAGTTTTCCGTTGTGCACTGTATATAAACCGTTAATTTTTGACAGATCGCGTGTAGGCATCCACATTTAGGCATTCCTCAAGGCACAATTTTGCCTTGAGGAAAAACTGTACGTGTGTGGCTACCTTAAGAAACATGGAAAGTAGAATAATTCTCTCATTTTATAAATAATCAAGTCTTAAGTATTTAATTCTCAAATACTTCTAAAAACTGAACTTTTCCTTACCTACTAATAGAGCTGTTGTTGCTATCTTTAGCCGAAATATACGAACTGTCGTCACTAGTTAAACTGTCAGGTGGCGTAGGGTTGGTAGGCGTGTTTCCACCAGAATGACCGCCGGGTGATGCAGTGTAGTTGTTACGCTTTAAACTTGATCTCAATTTTGTGTAACCAGCCTAAAAATAATGTACAATTAAATAATTATTTAAAACATTCTCAATTTTGTTAAATTTGTATTTTAGTAACCTAATTTCAGAATATTGCTGCGAATTATAGCATTATCATATGACACTAATGACGTTTGACATATTTACCGTTTCTAACGTGCTAGGTCTTTCGAAATTATTGGAATCTTGAGAATTCGTCCTAGAATATGTATTGTAATCATAGTCATACTGCGGTCTTCTTGGTAAATAATGTGTCGGTGTATATTCTTCTTCTAATCTGTAATAAAGAAAATAACAAATATGAAAAACTATATGGCTCTTGTGTTATTTAAAAATTAGACAAAAACTTACCTAAAACTAGGATTGACATTTGACCCACTAGTATTCGTCGAACTCGCGTTTGAAACGTTAGATGGCGTTCTCCTATGTGTTTGCAATGGTAACCTAAGTAAAAAAAGTCAAGTATAGAAAAAGGTTTATTTTAAGTAATACAAAATGTTTTATTCTTGAAAAATTTCTGTATCTTACCAAAGTGCAAATAGTCTACTTTGAAGAAATCCGTAATAGACAGTCTTATAGAGTTTTGTCATTCTTACCTCTGCGGTGTCCTTGATCCACTATGACTACTAACACTACTAGGATTGTCGTACGCGTAATCAGTTCCGTAACCGTACAATGTAGTGGTTGTACCACTGTGCTCCGAACTGTACCCATAACTCTGATCGTATTGGCTGTTATAAGTGCTATATGGCTCTTGTGTTCTTATATTACACCCTATACAATGCCCCGATTCATTTTGGCAACTGAAAATGAGGAACAGATATGTAAAAAATAGTTGAAGTCTTTATATGGAAAGTAAAACAAATAGAAAAATTTGTACCCATGATAGTCCCCTGGAATGTATATTGTAGCAGTCCGCTCAAAAGGTCCATAAAGATCTGAACCATCGTTGCTGGTAGAGCTAGATTTCCGCCTAGGTGACGGGTTAGGTACGTGATGCTGAGGTGAGTCAGTAAACCTAGGGATACAAATAATTTATGCATATTAGTGTCAGTTAAGTCAACGAAACCACTAGAAAAACTCTGGTTAATGTACGAAACGATCAACCCCTAACGGGAGATCAATAGAGAATAATTGATAGAAAATAGTTTGAATTGATAGTAGATAGTTTCTTAGAAGGTTGCAGGAAATTTATTTTAAACTATAACTCTATAAATTTCACCTTAGTGGCCGTTTCTCCTCATTTTGCAAATTCAGCAGTTGAGAACCAGTCAACATCGGTCTGTAATGCTTCGTAGGACCGTGATAGGTGTTGTGATTGTACCCGGAAACTGTTGAATATTCATAGTCTTGCGGTTCAACAGGCCGCCAAGCGGGCATATCGACCACTTCTATCCTACTACAAAAAGTGATGTTATAAAAATATTATTTCTATATTTTTGTTTGTATTTACCTGTTGGGTTGTAAGCTCGGATGTAAAGGCGATATATTTGACAGTCTTACGTCGTATCCGGAAGCTACACCTGCCAGCATAGCGGCGATATTATACAGGACTAGTTCCACTATGCTCAACTTTGGTTTTAGTCTTTGACCTAGCCGGAACAAAATGTTAAAACAATAAAAACCATTTTTGTACAAGTCTAAATTTTCATGTATGAATTTCTGAAGATACTTTTTACGGGCATTTACATAGGTGTAAAAAAGGTACGACTCCAAAAGTATAACACAAAGATAAAGGTAGTTAACGTACATTATAATTAGTTGATATACAGGCACAGATATATGCACCAAAATTTACGAAAGACTTGATAAGAAAAGACAGGGAAACTGTCAAAATTGTAGTGAATCTTTTAACAGGACATTTCAAGCTTAATAGCACTTAAATCTGGTGAGATTGGCACACAAAGCCATGTGTAGGTCTGTCAATTAGAAAGGGAAAATGGCTGAACACTGCGATAGCCTGGCAAATGCGCTAACATTTTTTTGTGCCCCACGTTGGGCGCCAAATAATTTTTGGTACCCCACGTTGGGCGCCAAATAATTTTTGGTACCCCACGTTGGGCGCCAAATAATTTTTGGTACCCCACGTTGGGCGCCAAATGTTAGCCTCTATGCACACGTCTTGGAAGCGACTGTGGAAAATTTATAACATACTATGATGAAAAGTAGTTCAATTGCACCTACCTTCAGCATTGTACAACGTAGGCATAGGTATATTATGCCTAACAGCTCCAGCAATCGGATACTCGGGTCCCCAATCTTCGGGCGGCACGTAATCTGTCGAAATTAAACATTTTTTTTTTGCTTTTTTCCTTTCGGCATTAATCGTTTTCAATTACTACTGGCACACAAACACCAAAATTAAAACGCAAAAAGTAGCGGGTAGTTTAAATGCTCCACTGGAATTAATGCTTCGTCACAGCATATCTACGTTCGAGTAGCGAGCTTTGATATTATTATTTTCACTAAACGAAAGCTTTATGTTTTGAGATATGGTTGCGGGTAGATAGGGCATCCTTTGTTTAAACATCTTAATATATTTAGGGTCGACACAATCAACTTTTTTGGAATATTTTCATTATTTTCAATGGTAAAATACCTGGAAAATTTTACACAGGTGGTCTTTCTCGCAAAAATAAAGCCATTATAGAGGTAGACTTTTTTGATCAATACCTTACGTCAACATAGAATTTGAGATTGCCGCTGCTCAAACCTAAATACACTGTGATTTAGTTTTTAATATGATTAATAACACATTCGAAGAAACGATTTTTAGGAAGAAATCTTTATACCACTTATCAAAGAAGTAACTTTTATTTTATCTTCGTAAATATTAGTTTTAGAGAAAACTTTTAAATTATAAAACTTTTAGAGTTTTTTATGAAGTCATTCTAATTCTAATTCTGTCAAATTTTGATTGACTTTTTTTTAATAGAAGGTGTAGGACATTCTGCTTCTTCAGTTGAATAGTTTTATGTTTTTATATACGGGGTAGAGAGGTCCTTGTCCTTTTTGGACAGATTATAAGAAAAAACTTATGAAGGTATGTTTGAAACATCTTAACTTTTGAGATACAGGGTGGTAAAATTTTCTATTTTTTCCATAATAACCAGGATGTTAGATATCTTTATGAAATTTAACACGAATTCTATGCATTGAAATTAAACCATTTAAAATGAAACACCCTATATATCACTGTATTAAAACTCGACAAGTGGTATATTACTTTCAGGACAAAAGCCTAAAGCTTTTTTATTATCTGAAACTGTAGAAAAGTATAGGGTGTAGAGTGTATTAAATATAATTCACTGTCAGCTGTCATTAGTATAAGAAACAAGCTTAAAATTATTAAGGTTAATATTTTAGTACCGAAAAATCCCAACACCCTATACCATACTAAATAATATCTACAGTTTTAGACCAGTCTAGGTTATAATTTATTTGCATTACTTTTAAAAATTAAATCTAATGAAACAAAAATAAAAAAATAAAAATGATGCAAATAAATACATAAATAAACCAAGGTGTTTTTTAAAACAGAAAATAATAAAAAAAAAACATCTGGGTTCATGCTTGTAAGTGTGTGAGAAGTAGAAAAAAAAATAAACAGCCAGTTTTAGGACGTTATAGGATTTATTAAAAATATAAAGTTACAAATTTTGAACCGTCACCAGAAAGAACAATTGAAAGACGTCTTTTTGCATGCCACGACGTGAAAGAAAAATTTTGAATGAATTTACCAATAAAAAAATGCTAGAAGGCTCAGCTAAAATGAAATTCATTAATTTTTGAACATATCAACAATCAATAATATCCATTTCAATAATCAACAAAATTTTACTAAAACCCCTACAATTTATTTTTTACTGAATGTATTCTAAAAATAAAAGTCATAGTCCTTTAAACGTACAGGGTGCCCCATTTTCGTGTGTTTTATAGGGTTTCTTGTTTATGAGTAGAGATACAAAGATGCGGTTTTCACATCACTTTCCTACTTTTTTATGAAACTAAAGATGCCACATATAGATTTGTCCTAGCCTTTTTAGTTCCTGAAATACAGGAGGAAGTTTAAAATGTTGCATTTTACGACCTCCTTTGTATCTTGGTTACCTGTTAACTTTTTCGCTGGGAGCTATTATTTTCGAAATATGACTCAAACTTATGTTTTTAAATGGGACACTATTTTAGGAGCTAAGAGAGCTAGGATAAATACGAGTGTAGCATCTTTAGTTCCATATAAAAATAGCACAGTAATGTGAAAACCGTATCTTTGTACCTCTACTCATAAACGAGAAACCCTGTAAAACACAGGAAAATGGGACACCCTCTACAGGCTAACTTGGTATTTAATATGACTGAATATGTTATGTAAAAAAATATTAACTGAGCCAACATTAAAAACTATTAAAAATTAAAAAAAAACGTCTTCAAAATTATATAAGTAAGCGATAAAAATTAATCAAAAAATTTGTGAAAAAAAACAGCATTAGACCTATAAGCTAACACAGCTACAAAAGTACTTCTTAATCAATCAAACAGTCTACTTAATTAAATAAGCTAAAAAAATACAAATCGAAAAATTAACTAACACACATGCGAAAAAATTTGTGCTTAAAAACTAAAACTTAATAAAAAAATATTGTCGCTGTCGAACTGAAATAAAACAATTAAAATAGAACTAAACAGAACGGCGGGGAGGGGGGATCTGGGTCGCTTTTATCAAAAAAATAAAAGTATTTTTATTTTGATATGTAACTTACATATGATTTTCGGCAGGTACTCCTCGGAGGAACCTTCAGTTGAAAAAGAAATTGTTCTTAAATTATTGTATTTTGTTAAATTTTAGTTAGGTTGCTCTTTTGAGAATAGTACCACTACAGTAAACACGTGAATTTCAAAATATTTTCTTCCTTTTTATGTGAAAAGTTAGATTATATTAATACATAAAAAACATCAAGACAGAAGAGATGTTATTGTAGCCATTTTGTAAGGTCGTTGTGCTTACACTTTTATCAACATTTACAAAATTACTTAAAGAAGTTTTACTTCAAAAAGGTAATTTTAACGCCTAGGCATAAAAGTAAAGCACTTTTAGGCCTAAGCACAAAAATATATTATTAAATTGATATTAAGTGTTAAATTCAACGAGTCTACCCATTGCTCGATATATAATTACAAGGTATTACTTTTTATATTATTTGCAACGTTTGAAATTGTTTAAAAAAATTATTTGTGACGTTTGAAAAAAAATAACTTGTCCTAATCGGAGTAAAAATGTACTTTTTGAGCCTCGCCTGTAATGTCGCCTTGTGAAATGTACAGCCACGCGCCACAAAAAGTGTCATTTTTACAACTAATAAAACAATGCTATTTTGTTAAAAGTTGTAAATTGTGAAATAACTATTGAGAAATTCGTCTTTAAAATAAAAAGAAGCAGATAGTTTAATATTCAAGTATTTGTTTTAACGGCTGTATTCTCCTAAGAATAACCAACAATAAAACTGTCACAATCCTACAAGAATTATATACAGTATGATTGTAAATACTAACTAAATCCAGTATTAATCAGAATTTTAATTTAAGCTTTGGAAATCAAAGCTTAAATCAAAATCAAGTTTCAAGACGTTCTATTAATTTACAATCACAAAGTAAAAAAAAATAAAAATTCTATTGCACTGAAAATATTATTTATATTTTTTCTGAACTACATTTACCTAAAAAATTCAGTCGCTGGTTGATTTTTTTTTGTAAAACCTAAGTAATTAAATTCCATGAAAAAAGAACTTCGAAAACCGGCTATATGTATAAATTACCTTATTTTAAAAAGAACTAGCGATATGTACAAAACGTAATTCTAATTTGATAATATAAATAATTTATTTTTAACCTAACTATTTCTTGTGCCAAACTAGCCTGTATCCAAAATGGGAGATAACAAAAATATGAGAAACTATAAAGTGTTTAATAATAATCTGCTAAGATAATGAAAGTGATGAATTATAAAAATATTTTTATGTGGTTTAAAATTCTAAAACAAAGTGTAATAAAAGTAAAATTTAAATTAAAATTATGAACTGTCGATCCCATCAACAGATGCACTATATATATATATTTGGCATTCTTATTTTTTTCTCAGAAATCAAATTTATAAAATAGAAATAATTTAAGTTCTAACAGTACGTCATAAATATTTTTTTACAAAAAAATTAACAATACTGAGATCAAATAGATTTGTCCCTCAAAAATATAAGTTATTTCCTTTTTTTAAAGAATTACGAAAAAACAATTAACACTGCTAAAAGAGTGAGACAAATCAAGTTCAATCTCCTCTAAATTAAGTAAATAATATTCACTAGCCCACAAAATCGTTTTTTTATGTTTCTTATTTTTTTTTCTTGCTTAGCTAATTTATATTTATACTCTAGACGATTACTATTTACATTATCGAGAGTGTATTTACATAATAAAAAATTATAATTAAAATAAAATGAACGCGCAAATATGATTCTTAAAAAGTAAGGAAAAGACGATAAAAAGATGAAAAAAATTCAAATTAAAAATATGATAGATGCTGTCATTTTTATTTAATTATTAGTGGTCTTCCCTTTTTAGTTTTGTGCTTAAAGTTAAAAAACTTACTTCGAACGTCCGCAAGTTTGGCAAAATGTATATGGCAGGTCTTTTATGTTGATTTTTTTTAAATTAAGTGGAAAATATTATAAGGCTTTTGTGTTTGATTGTACACACGTTTGTATTACATTCTATTCTTGAAATGTATTATAAATATGTTTTCTCTTGACTTCTTTCCATGATGGAATATTTGACTGAATATAAAATTTAAAAAATACTGCTGGTCAAGGATTTGAGTAGAATATATTATTACGCACTTCTGAAGTATTTTGAACCCTAATAAAATTGAAATGTACGAAAAAATAATCCATTAATAAAGTCTTTCTGTTATCCACGGATTATGAAATTGTTCTTGCTTCAATTCTATGAGTTTTTAGTTATAAGATGTCTGTCATCCATGGATTATAAAGGATTCAGTTCCATTGCCATAGCTTTTGAAAGTAATGGATACAATCAAACACAGATAAAACCAAATAATCATGGCTGGTGAGGTTGAACTTTGGAAATCTTTATTGTTAGGGTACTGTATTCATAGGAAAGTATATTTCATATCAATTAAACTTTTAGTTACATAATCGAGGGCACAATTTTTAAATTCATTGTTGCCAACCATAGACATATTCGGCGCCGGACTGACTAACTGGAATTTAAATTTCGCGCTGGGGATTTAGGTGGTATGGTTTGGTTTTGGTTATGCAGGGATATCAATGTTTGGATAACCGAAGACAATACCGACAAACAACAAAGTAACATCCTAGTTTCTCACCTCACCAGCCTCCACCGAAAAAACCACAATTTATTTTTTAAGCTATTCGTACGACGATCTTAGAAACCCTAGTCCCAATCAGTCTTCCTCCCCTCGTCGAAACTATCCGCGTCCCAGTCCACCGACCCGCTCCTGACCCCCCTCCGAATCACGAAACTATTCGTCGAGAACACCGTGTCGTATTGAGGCTCCGGCATCGACGCGATATTCCCGAACGACCTACTCAACCTGTTCCTGTTCAAGCCACCCTTCCCCTTCGACCTTGTTACGGGAGAAGTCTCCTTAACCGTGGGCGTAATGCTGTGACTTCTTCCAAACACCCCGCCAGGGCTAAGGGTGGCCGTGAGCTTGTGGAACAGCTTGGTCGCGTAGGCCGACGACGCCGACTTGGTCGACGTTGTTTCCGACGTTGCCGCGATGACGTTACCTAGATCGGCGGCCATGGCGGCCGAGCCCTGGCCCAGCTTCGTCTTGTCCAGGTTGGGGGCGCTCTTCGACCAGATGGCGGCGGTGTGCTTGTTGTCGTGGGCGGGGCGCAGCATGGTGAGCTGGCCGCGCTCGCGCTGGTGGCACGTGCTGGGACCCCACGTCTTGCCTTTGACACCGTCCGCGGGCACTACAGACAACAAGAGTCATCATGGACTCGGGTAGGACATAAATTCCAACAGGTTTCTTTATTTGTATTATTTAGTTTTAATATTAACGCGGTATATATCACAGTCCAAGCTGTCAAAAATTGCTCAATTTACTTGCCGAAGTGTCTAAAAGTGCTTTCATTTGCAGTACTATCCTTATCAATCCAAAAAAATCCTATTATATGGGTATTTCGCCATTGCAAGAAAATCTACAAAATAAAATAGTTATTTTTGTAAATACTGCTGCGTTAATTCAACGGAGACTACTTGTCAGCAGTTAGGTTTACTGATAAACAAATTTGCCTAACGAACAAAAAAATGCTTAACGTTTCGGAAAGCTTATTTCTTTCCGTCATCGGAAGCAAAAAAAAATACAAAAATAAAAAAAACTATTTAAAATATTTAAATGCAACTATTCGAGAACACTTTATTTTTTTTTAAACAGATACGTCTACAAAAACCGTTGACGTTCTGTTAAAATGACATTATAACAAGTTAAACTTCAAAATTAACAATTACTACCTGGTGACAATTACTTAATAAGGTAAAACCAAAAAGCCTCAAACTTTGTGTATGACTATTTTAATTTGTTTTTAATTTTTACGTATGTTATGTTTATTTATGTTCTTTAAAATCAAAGAAGCAATTGCCATACATTACTAACATCTACAGATGCATGAGCAATACATTTATTTTTATAAGATTGTATAAAAAGCCTCTTTTATTTTTCACTTTTGGCGTCGTTTTGTTGATTTTTTTGCAGTGGCGAAATACCTATATTTTTTTTTGGAGAGATGAATCCGCCACATAGGTATAAACATTTTTTACCCTTATCAAATTAGCTAACATAACCTATAAACTCTGACAATTGATAGAACGCAATGAGAAACGTTACATGAGAATAACTATATGTTTAGCGCCTTCCGGTTCATCAGCTACCCATTGTAAGAAAATATTGTTGAATGTCTAGAAGGTCTATCCCTAATATGGACACAAATTGTAATAATTCTTAAAAATGGTCCTATACGTAACGATACTTGAGAGATTTGAACTGTACTTCGATTCAGTCCAAATCTCAACGTGATGATGAAACGTGATGGTTTCGATAAAGATCTCATCAAAGAGATCAGATCGGCGATCTTTCAACATGCTGAATATTTTTAACTGCACAGACCACATATTTGGCGGGAACTGTATTAAACTATAGACTGACGAATTTTTATTTTATAAAATCTGAACGCGTAGTGAGAAAAGATCGCTATAGATTTGGTCTTAAGATGTGAACTGAGCGATTTGGCAGCACATCAAATCGTTGTGTGTAGGACCCCTTTAAGCTACATTTCAGAACCTCGAATTTAGTGGAATAAATTAGTGATTTCAATATGTTCCTCTAATTTCAATGTAAGCATTGAAAACGTCAAAATTAGTGGTAGTAGGCCCCACGTTGGGCGCCAAAGTAAATAAATATGCATCTAACAAGAACTACGTTAAAATACTTAGCAAATATATGAAATGAACGTTAAATAAAAATATATGTAATAACTTGATGTATAACTTGACAACATCGATTGTTTTTGCCCGCATTCCTTTCACTATCCGTTTGTCAGGTAATAACATTATTAAGAATATTACATAGTAGATATTAACTCCATAAAGAAACCTGTTGGGTAACTCCTTGTCCTTCAGCATGGATTTTTCCTTTTATTTTTCCATTTCCATTTATTTCATTTCGTGTATTTGTGTGTGTTGTGATCCAAACGACGAACCCATAAGTATTTCCGAAAAACTTTTTAAACAACTCAAATCAAATAAATAATAATTTCCTATACATATTTAATATTGTAAATCGACATGATTTAAAAAGAAAATTAAAATGAATGTGCCATCATCAAACAGTAAAAACTTTAAAGCACGACACAACTGTGACAAAAATATCGCAAAGCTATCGTCAAAACAAATCTAAGATAGAAAAAATCGGATAACTAAGAAACACAACACACACTATTGAACTAAACCAAAAAAGTAAAATTATAAAATGTAAAATTGGAAAACCATGCTGATAAAAATGACATGCCAAAAATTTGTAGTTGTTTGGATGAACAGAAAGTTACACGTATTTCTTAAATTATAATATTGTTTTCTGTGAAATTTTAAGGTACAGTATTGCCTTATGGTAGTGTTTCTCAAAGTTATAGTTTCACATTATATCTATTTAAAGAACTTAGTTACAAAAGTAACATCTTTTATTAAACAAAAAGTAATACAAAATATGTACGAAAAAAATACAAAAAACAATAACAGAAATATTTTCGACCTCTCAATGTATATGATGGAGGTTGATTCTCAGAATCAAGAAAGGTATATAAGTTTTGATAATATGAATTTCCTATAATTGTGTCTGTTTTCTGTACACGTAATTTTCTGTATACAGTACGGTAAACTTTCTGTACCAAACAACTAATAAATAACTTTTTTACTATTAAATTTAAAATAATTTCAACAAACTACTTACTTGCAATAGCTCTTAAATGGGGTATCGCCGGAGACCCAGGGGGACTATTGGGGCTAATAACCCCGCTGAGCCCCCCTTTAGGATCTACTGTGTGTTGCACAGTGATGGTATGCCTAAAATCCGACGGATGGCTTATGGTGGGACCGGCTTCTTTTTTCAGCAGTCTTAAGCCTGATTTTTTAAATTTTCCTTAAAAAAATAAGTATATAGGTTAAGTTTAGTAATGGCTATATCTTTTTGGTGGTATTTTTGTGATTATTTCATCTTCACCTAACATACAGTGTTAATAAACCAAAAAGTACATACACTTCTCTGTGTAAAGACAAACGGATTTTTTTTTATTTCTGGATCAGCTATTATCAGCCAAACCAAGCCAAATTATAGACATTTTTTTCAGTATACAAGTGAGACAAATCTTACCTTTTCTCTTTTTAGGCGTCGGCGTTTGTTGTATAATCATAAAATTCAACTCCCTCTTCAATATGTCCATCTCTCTGGCGTGCAGTTCCTGCTCTTTCTGCCTTAATAGTTCCTCGTGCATCCGCTGTTGAAGCTGGGCGCGGTTGAGATCCTCTTCCCTGCTACGCAATTCCTACGCCAACCAATAGAATAGTGTTTTAGAGAGAACAGTGCGTTCTTAAAAAGACAGTAAAAACAAGTCACTAAAAACCAATCAAGAAAATTAAAGCATAACAGAAAGAAACTCATGTGTTTGTACAGAAATACGTAATGTGATCAGATGAAAACGACGGCATAGTAGACTTAAAACAGTATTATAGTACGAAGTTTACGAGGGTTTCTCTAGTAGAAACATTTAAAAGATAATTTTATTATTATCACTCTTTGAATAAGAAGACTAAGGAAGGAGAATATCAAAAATCTTAGGTACACCGCGATGGGCCTCAAATATGGCCGACTTAAATTCCGGTTTATCAGTGTCGTTCTAATTTTATTTAAAAAATGTAAAACAATGATGTAGGGTAGACGTGGGGTAGACTCAATAATTTGTTGTTTTATTTTACGTTGTGAATAAATGTTGGTAGTTATTAAAATTGTTATAAAAATATATAATTCTAATAAAAATAGATAAGTTATAATAAGTATTTATTACGACAAACATCCGATACGCTACTGAAGCAGCTAAGTCAAATTAACGTATCTAAATTCTTTGACATCTAATCTTTGACAAGTAATAAATAAAAGCTAAAATGCAAGAAAAATATATAATTTAGTTAATTTAAGTGAATTTCATAAATGATCGGTTTACTACACGTATGTATATTATATAGTCACTTACTAGCGAAAAGTTGTTCCATTATTTCACTCAATTTTTGCCGAGATCTACCGCACGCTACACAACCAACTATTTTAGAGTCTTTTTTGATAAATCGCGATAGTGTCACTGTTAATTTAAGTGCTGCCACAATTTCCATCTAGATTTACTACCTTTATACAACTATCAGTAGTAGAATAAATAATAAATAACATAAAATAAGCTCCGTAAAGACTGACAAATCCACAAAATTTCAAATCAAATTCAAATGTGTCAAATGAATCGTCAAACAGAACTGTCAAGGATCCCCACCCTAGAGTGCTTTTATGGCGCTTTTTCCGCCCACCATGCATGAATACATGGATAGCATTATGCTCCTTCCTTAGTCTTCTTATTCAAAGTTATCACTTCATTTTAAGAAAAGCATTACCACGAGAAGCTTATATATACCTTTTTTCCAAAGCAACTATTAAAATTGCCTTATATCTATCAAAAATTGTAGATAAAATAGTACTTTAAACCAAGGGTAAATTAAATGATACTTTAACAGCGAGGACAGGTTAAAAACTTTATTTCTTCTCGCATGTTCTATAATTGCTTCCATTTTTGAAAATGTTTCTATTCCTTTTCATAAGTTATTCGGGATTTAAATGGAAGTAGTTTGGATATGGCGTTTGTCGCCTCAGCCTGAATATCTGTTGGTAATTTACTTATTTCAGTTTGAGCCATTTCTGGCTCCAATTCAAACAGCAATCGACACGAAAGAGAATTAAAAAATATTGACTCAAAACTGACAACTAAAGAGACAGCTTTATTTATTTGTCAAATTACATAGAAACCAACGCCAACCCAGCACAATATTTTTTCTACTCGTAATAAATTCCTTGAAATAATAATTTCTGAATAGTTTTTAAAACGTAACTCGCTATGGAAAGAAATATCGTTTTATACACGACGATAAAATTGCATTATCGTCTCCCGAATTTAATTCACTCGCGATTTCATCGCTCGTGAATTAATCTTTTCGGTCGACGATAAAATACCATTTTATCGTCTTGTATAAAAAATAACTATTTCTTTATATTACCTTTTCTCTCAGAGTGACCGACTAGGCATTAGCAGTATAAACAAGGTAAAAGTCACAATGAAGCGTTTTTGAAACTTCCAGACCTATCGTGACGTCGTTTTCAATCTATCAATGTTATATTTTTAATAAATCGACAAAAGATAAAATACATCTCAAAAAGAACTTCAGTCGACTCAAAAATAAAAACATTCTAAAAATAAAATAAAATCTATTTCAACAAAATTAACACACGCAAATAATCAATTTACCTCTTCATATGTCTTGCAAGCCTTAAGAAAAGAAGAAAAAACAATATGATTAATAAATGTGATGCGTTCCAATATTCTGAAATACCGTATGATCGAAAAAAAAACGGCGTCATAGACGGCTGGGGAATGACAATCGATAATAATTTTGGCTAAAAATTGACACAAATCTATCTCCAAAAAATATATTCTGTCGAATTTTGAATTAAACCACTTAAAAATCATTTTTCCCAATATAAAAAAATACATCCTTCTTAAGACCAACTGGCAGTAAGCACCATTAAAAAATAAAGAAGAGTATGAGCCAAGTAAATGACGTCTAGGGCTTGACCTCGACAAAATTATAATCGATTGTCATTCCCCAGCCGTCTTTGACGCTGTTTTTTTTTCAAGAAATTTTATTTTGGTTTTGGTTGTTAAACGATATAAAAATTGTAAATATGTATGAATAAAATGACTAAAATGACTGTCACTGTCAATTGTCAACGTACCTTTTCTTTCCTGCGAAGTTCCAGCAGTACCTCTTCGATCTCTTCCCGCCAGTCTTCTTGTAAATTGTGAAACGATTCGTGCGGAGTTTGCGTGAAAGGCGAGTTGTAGATGTCGTCCAAGTCTTGGAGGATCCTTTCGAAAGGTGGTCGATCGTGAGGATCGGATGCCCAACATCCTGTAAAGAAAATAGGATAATATGGAGACGTCGAAACTATTACGAAATTAAATTTCTAATAAATAAAAATTCGTTTGAAACTTGGAGCGTACTTTTTCCTTTGTTTTTGTAACCTCATATCCTGATTAAAAAAATACAGGACGTTGTCGCATCAAGTAAACAAATTCAACAATAAAAAAGGCTTTATGTTGGTAGTCATGGCAAATGTTGCCGGCTGCCACGACATTTTTCTTTGCAAATCTGCCGTGGGATTTTTGTCTGTCCAAGGAAATTTTTTGCTAGTGTCTCACACTTACGCGGCTTTCTTATCGAAAACATTTAGTCCATCATACGACAATCATACTATGGGTGCCAAAAATTTCATAGAGTTTATTTGTTTTGACATTGAAATTGTTGATTATGGTTTGAATCATTTTGTAAATAAAATTTAGAATGTAGGAACGGTGACAAAATATCGATATACTCATCAATGTTTTGCATAGAAAATACCATATGACCGAAAAAAACGTCATCCAGTCGCCCAATTTCGTAAATCGAGGAAAATTATATTATACCGGGTGCGTCTCAAAAGTGCTCACCCCTATAACTTTTTTAATTTTTCAGATAAAAAAACGAGATTTGGTATGTTAGTATATGACATAAATTAGGATTGATTGACGTATTTAATTGTTTTTTTGGTCACTTCCTGTTTCACCGGAAATTACTACAACTTTTGATTGTTAAATGGCACACTTGGTATTTTTTTACTTTATTCGATAGAAAATGACATTCTGAATAGAATGACATACATATCATAAGTCAACTTTTGACATTTTTGCATATGGTTTATTTAAAATTATAACTTGCGGTTCGTAAGTAATTTGACTCGAAATACCAAGTGTATGGTATCAAATTATTCGTAAAAAAATACTTTTTCCCAATATGCTAATGAGCCACCCTCCTTCCATTTGAAAAAATTGAGATATGATTAAGAATACGATTTGAGCATTTTCTAACTGGCCAGGACAAGACACTAAAAACATTAGACGATCAAATCTATTTTTCCAAGGCTCCTTGATTAAGAATTAGTGTTTTTAACATAGCCATGGATATCTAGATTGGATTTTAAAATGCGATTTTTTATTAAGCGAGAATGTCAAAAGTTGACATATGATATGTCATTCTATTCAGAATGTCATTTTCTATCCAATAAAGTAAAAAATACCGAAGGTACCATTTAAAAATCTAAAGTTGCAGTCATTTCCGGTGAAACCGGAAGTGACCAAAAACAATTGAATACGTCAATCAATCCTAATTTATGTCATATACTAACATACCAAATCTCGTTTTTTTATCTGAAGAAATAAAAAAGTTATAGGGGTGAGTCACTTTTGAGACGCACCCGGTATATCCTAAAAATATCATAAGAATAATGAGTCACTAGCAAGAAATTTCATATTACAAGCTTACAGAATCCCACCTCTGATGTTATTTGTCATTTTCAATTTTATTCTCACAAGAGTTTTCTTTGACAAATTTGAAATTAAATCTGCATCTTGTTTTCAATTAAAACCATTAAATAATCGGAATCGGCAACTTGTCTCGTCTCTACTCAATTCTGACAAGAATGAGACCATAACAAGCCCCTTTTTGTCGTTAATCTGCGTTACAGAGGTAAACATTTATATAATTGCTTAAGTTAATCTTTTGGCTTAGTATTTTTCGTCAGCTGACGAAAGTAGAATCTCACAAAAAGTGAAAACTAATGTTAACCAATTAAAATTTTACATTTTCAGCTTTCATTCAAAAAACTTGCTAATAACTTTATTTAATTAAAACGTGTTTGTGTAATATCTTAGACAATAATCATAGACAATAATAAGGAAGATAAATGTATAAAAAATAATTGTATATGTATTGGCTAAAATTGAAATGAAAAATTTGTGACAAAATTCAATATTTTTTTTACAAATCCCCGTAGTGTGCAAATTTATATGAGCCACCGTGTAGACGTTACGGCCGGCCGTTTAGCATAAAATTAATATTCTTGAGGCGGTTCGTAGCGCCTTCTTTTTTCCTTCCCGACCCGAAGAGCGACGCGCCGAGACAAGAATATTGAAGCGATCGATCGCGGGACAGAGCTCGTACCTTATTCCATACTCTTTTAACGACTTATTTATCAATTTATTAGATAGTCTTCCTTTTTTTATTAGTCGTTCGGGGATATTGAAAGTTAATTGATGGATCAAAGTAAACTTTTAGATATTGGATTAAGAAGATTCCCTCAAAAAAAAATGTAAAAAAATATCTCGCATCGCATTTCTTATGTTATAAAAAGTTGTGAGTGTAAAACCAAGTCAGTTATTATATACTCTGTTTTTTTTCTCAGGTAAGATTTCGACAGACGATGACAGAAGAAAAGCAGATGACGTCCCATACCAATCTATTTATTTTACTAAAAAAGTTTCTATTAATTTTTAAGTTATCTATGGATGGGTTTAAATATAAATCCGTCATACGTCGTGTCTTGTTGTTTTTAACCAGTTTTATTGGTTTATTTAAAAAATGACAGATCGTATTTCAATTTTATTGGTTTAACGGAACGATGAACGATAAACGGACGCCGATGCGTATGAACTTGCCTTTAGATTTTTGTCATTTTTGACGCTTGTCAAAGTCTTGCCAAATTATAGGTTATAATTTTGTGCCAACTTTTGTTAAATACCCTGCGTTTTGGAAGATGATGCATTTTGATTCGTATTATTACGTGTGTTTTGTGTCTTTTGAAGTCAAGTGGAGGAAAAATCGAGTGAAAATTAACTGTAGACCCAGAGCACAGTTAATGGTTAATACTCGCTGCCCAGGCAGAAAGTCTTATACACCCCATCGTTAAAGTTTGTATACCATCTCGTCGTAGATAAGTGCATCTCGTATATGGTAGAAGGATCAAACTAAACACATACTAAAAACTGGAGTAGCTGTAAAATATCGACATCACACGATAGGTAAATAATGGATTTTAGTACTGCAGAAAAATAATGTCAAAAGGTACTGGTTTAAAAAAATTAAGATTAAAGTTAATTAATCAACCTTTAAGGTATAAAATTTGGTAGGTGTTATTATTAATAAAATAGTTTGTTTAATTTACCTATGTTGTTTTATTTATTCCTGTGGAATATTACAAATTTGTATTTGTACATAGAATTTTTTTTGGAATGGAGAACAATGGATCTGTAAGGTCGAAGTGATTAACCCCCCTCCCACTCATTCTAAATTCTAAAAAATTTGTACATAAGTTATATTGATAAATATAATCATAAATGCGGATAGTTTCATAAAGCTTGAAAGTAAAAAATAGTTCTTTTTTATATTTTTTTGGTATGTAGTGTCTTGTTCTTGTTTGGTTTGTATTAACACATACCGGTTTTATTAAATAAAATAACTCGATTACATTTTTTCAGTTTTATACAGTTTTTTTCACAATATTTTGAAGTAATCACTTGTCATCTTGTCAATCAAATTTTAAATATTTTCTGCTATGCGTTCCAGTTGTACCAACTTATTTCTTTGTAAAAAAAAATAAACTACTTTGAAATTAAAATGACAGACACGTCTATCACTGTCAAGGATCTTCTGGTTGGACAGACTATAGTTAGTATTTATGGTATTTAGTATCCTATTCAACAACTTTGTTATAAATTGAGATCAATTACACAGCAACATATTCTACTAATTTAATACTTTATACTTATACAGGGTGTTCCTTAATGACTTGCTAATATTTAAGGAGGTGATTCTTGGACCTATTCTAAGAAAAAAATGTCATATGAATATATGTCCTAAACAACTTAACTTTTTAGATACAGGATGGTAAATTTTTCTAATTTTTTTTTCAAAATATTTCTGATGGGATATTTGATACACGTCTTCCATGCATCAAAATGCTTATTTTGATATACAAAAAAAACTGTTTTATTTCTTAATTTCCTTCCAACCAATGCAGAAATGATTTCCACACAACACTCACGACCGCATCATATTTTCAGCGATTTAGCCATGAAATAAACTGACTTTATTTTTTTAAGCAAAAACTAAAGGATAAAAAAAATGTTAACTAAAAGATAAAAAATCTAAAACCTTACAATTTGATAAAAAACAGAAATAAAACATCTCCTATTTTTAAAAACTACAAATATACTTACTCTCCATTAGGTCTTTCCAGGGCTGATGGCAAGTACTCGGTATAGGTAGGGTGAGCTTGTTGACGGCCACCCCGTAGGCCACCGCCAACGTATCGATGCCCTTGTAGGGCACCTCGCCCGTCAGCAGTTCCCACAGCAGCACGCCGTAGCTCCACACGTCGCTCGCCTTCGAAAATGTGGAATGCTTTATCACTTCGGGAGCCATCCAGGCGTATGTTCCTTGAAAAAGAAGGAAAAAACAATTATTTGAAATAGAACATACAAAAAGATGCATTGAATTAGAGGTGGGAATTCTAGTTCCTTGGGAGGAACTAGTTCCTTAGTTCTAGTTCCTCCAGAGGAATAGTTCCTTGAACTAGGTCTTTAGTTCACATTAGTTCCCGACTAACATTGACATCCCCGTTGCTTGCTCATGGGTTTCGTTATAAATCGAAGCTATCCACAGTATGATCTTTATAATTTGTAATAAGACTGCCATGTAAAGCTAAATGATAAATATGAAAGTAAAGATTTCTCTCTTATTTTACGAAAAATTGTATTTTTTCTCACATCAAGCTTTTTGTTTTTGTCTAAAAAGTCAGAATATCTACTTCGTTTTATAAGATACTAGCGTGTACCCGCGACCAAGAATAAGCTTTTTACGTCAAGCAGTTTAAGCAGAATCGTGGTTAACCCAACTTTTTGGAACACCCTGTATGATTTTTTTAAAAATTTCAAAATATGTAAAAAAACAAAATAAATTCTGCATATCCAAGCGTTTTCCCGAAAGACTAACTGTTTTTTAAATAACAAATATTGTAATATTTGAAGGGCGTTTTCGCTCTCTTGGAATTTGAGATTCGAGAATCCCATCCTAATCGAACCTCTACACCCCACAGTCAATCAGTTTGCCAAAAATCAGTTTTAAACGTCAAGAAGTTTAAGCAGAATCGTGATTACTCAATGGTCATATTTTATGAAACACCCTGTATAAATTTTTAAAAAATCTTAAAATATGTAAAACAACAAAATAAAATATTCGTGTTTAAGAGTTTTTCCGAAAAACTCACCGGTTTTTAAATAAAACATATTCTAATATTTAAGGGGTGGTTTCACCCCCTTAGAATTCGAATTTCGAAAAATCCCTTCTTATCGAACCTCTACACCCTAAAGTCAATCCGTTTTCCAAAAATCAGCTTTTTACGTCAAGCGCTTTAAGCAGGATCGGGATTAATCAATGACCAGATTTTTCGAAACACCCGGTATACATTTTTTAAAAATTTTAAAATATGTAAAAAAAACAAAATAAAATATACGTGTTTAAGCGTTTTTTCGGAAACTTGACCGTTTTTTAAATAAAAAATATTGTAATATTTGAGGGGTGGTTTCACCCCCTTGGAATTGGAATTTCAAAAAATCCCTTCTTATCGAACCTCTACACCCTAGACTCAACCTGTATGCCATAATTGAGCTTTTTACGTAGAGTGGTTTGAGCAGGATCGTGATTAATCAGTGAGTCACTTAATGATTTTATACATTAGTATAGATTTCTTAATTTTAGCGACCTAAAGTAAAACATTCCCATAAAATATTCAAAAAACAAACTAAAAATTAAAAACAGTATCAACAACAATTTTCTATGATATGGTCATCGCCTTGTATTGTATCTCGGATCTGCGGAACGAATATATTCCCGTGAACTAGAACGATCCCTCGCCGTCGCGTATCGGTCCACGGAACAGGTCCTGAGGAACTAATCCTTTGAGAAACCAGGAACTAGTTCCTTTCGTTCCGGGGTTCGAATAGTTCATTGGAACTAGTTCGTTCACGAACTACACGAACTACACACCTCTACGTTGAATGAATTTTTGAATAAAAAGATTAAGGTTATGGTGCCCGGTAGTTTTTATAGTTTTTTTTTTATTTTTACCGAATTTTTTTGCTATTAATAAAGACTGATTAATTTACTTACCCGCCTGTGACATCCTCGTAGTTTGGTAAACTTCTCTGGCCAAGCCAAAGTCGGTAATTTTCAAAGTCTTGCCTTGTAAGTCGTCGTTTTCGATTTCTTCGCTAAGTAATACTGGAACAAACAAATAGATATGTTTAAAAAAGTTACAGTAACACAATTAATCAGTAAAATTATACATATATTTGATACCAATTAAAGTTTTAGTGAGGGAGCGATTTTTAAATTCATTATATTGCCACCCATGGAATAATATATCCATGATTCAGCGCCCTGCTGACTAATTGGAATTTAAATTTCCCGCTGGGGATTTAGGTGGTAACTCTGCTGTAAAAAATGTCAAGTTTAAATGTCACATTTATTTATTTCCTGACATTGTCATTCGTTCTGACACTTTAGTTTTGTAAAATACGAGTTTTTGGTTTAAATGAATTGTGTTGTGATACTTTAAGTTTGAAAATGTTTATTAGCAGAACTTGCAGTCGAACATTGTTCTTTTTGGAGCCTCTTTTAGTGCGAAGTGTACAAGATAGCTTAATAGCAGTAAAAAACTCATTGAAACTTATCTTAAATTACTACTCTTAATTTTCTTAGTATCGTGTTATTTTAATATTGTCTCTCTAGGTATTATCTACTTTTCTACATCTTTTCAGAAAATAATTGGTTATACAAATAAACTTTCTTATTGGTACGAACTACTTTAGTAACGCTAATAAAATAATATTTACAAAAAATATTATCCAATGCATAATACATTGATACTCATTTATAGATTGCATAATACAAACTTTAATTTATTATGGAAAATTATGCAACCACACTGCCAAAAGCAAGCTTTTAAATGAAAGTCTAGGTATCTACTGAAAATAGGATTGCATATATTATGCAGATAGAGCTTTAGCGGTGCACTTGCAAATTAAGTTCATTAATATACAGAGCGATTTCCAGCTGGTAGTGCAATAGTCAACATAGGCTTGGTGCATTCTCCATACTGTGAACATACATACCGTACATAGATAATTATATTTCTTACTGAATTTAGAATATTTTTCCCATATTAAAACGACACAAATGTTGCATTTATTAATCTTCCGGTATATAAATAATAAATAATAAATAATAAATAATAAATAATAAATAAAGAAATAAATAAATAAATAAATAAATAAATAAATAAATAAATAAATAAATAAATAATTAAATGCCTTTATTGTCAAAAAATTTTTCAATTTGTAGACAAAGGTAAACTAACAAACAAAGTAGAAAAAAAAACAAGGTACACAAACAAACAAACAAAAGATAATACAAAACATTATATAAATAATATTGTCAGTCTTATTGTTAAAATAAACATTTATAAAAGTTTACAATGTCAAAGAACAAAAAATTTAAAATAATATTCAAAAATATTTAGCCAGTTTATAGCAAAATATCAATGACCTCTAAATAAATTAATTTCGATGTCATTAGTAAATATAGCAATAGCAAACATTAGACCAGTGTTTTCAAGATCAAATTCGAAATGATGTTATAAAAAAATGATGTTATGGATTTGATTTCAAATGGCAGGTGATTGTGCATTTTTTTCGAGTTGTATAATATTGAACTTTTAACTAACTCTGAGCGTGGGGTAGGTAGATAAAGATCTTGCTCCGCGTTCCTGAGTGGATAAGTGTGAGATGGCCTTTCTTGAGAAGCTGATACATGTTTACGTATTAGGCAAACGGATTCAAATATAAATAAGGAAGGAAGAGTCAATATTCTTAATTCCTTAAAAAAGTCCCGACAATGAGTTCTGCTGTTTAGTCGTAGTGAATATCGAACAGCTCTCTTCTGGAGCTTGAAAATGCGGTCAAATTGAGTCGCACAACACGTACCCCAGAATGGAAGGGCATACCTGAGGTGCGACTCAAAAAGTGCATAATAAACAGTTCTAGCCACTGACAAGTTAAGTTCCTTAGAAACAGACCTTAATGCAAAACAGGCAGAGCTCAATTTTTTCGACAAAGATTCGATATGTATGTCCCATTTCAGAGAATTGTCCACAACAAGCCCTAAAAATTTTACAGATTTTACGACGTCAATGGTGGTGTTGTTAAGTACAAAAGGCTGCAACGAGTTTTTATACGACAAAGCTTTAGTTTTAGAAATGTTGAGACTCAGGAGGTTCGAATCGCACCAAGATTTAATGGTGATTAAGTCATTTGATATAATCCTATGAAGTGCCGTGATGTCCTTGTTGCTCCAAGTGAAGCTAGTGTCGTCCGCAAAAGACATATTTTGCCACTGATGTTTATGTTAGCAATGTCGTTAATAAAAAGAAGAAACAAAATAGGGCCTAGTACTGAGCCTTGTGGTACTCCACATTCTATTGGCTTGCTAGAAGACAACGTGGTATCCACCCTCACAAGTTGACTTCTGTTGCTCAGATACGACTTAAACCATTCGAGAGATGATCCCCTGAACCCATAGTGCTGCAGTTTATTAATTAGGATCTTATGACTTACACAATCGAACGCCTTAGAAAAATCACAGAAAATTGTTGCTGTAGAATGATGGTTGTTTAGGCTGGAGTAAACTTTATTAAGGAGGGAAAACATAGCGTCATTTGTGGACTTGTTGCTTATAAATCCAAATTGATATTCAGTAAGTATTTTGTACTTAAACAGAAAAGATACCAGCCTTCTTTTAACCAACCTTTCTATGATCTTAGATAGCGTTGGAAGGAGTGCAATTGGGCGATAGTTAGAAGCTTCATCTTTGTCTCCTCCTTTGTGCAGAGGAATGATTATTGCCGTCTTAAGACATTTTGGAAAAATACCATTTTGGAACGACATGTTTATTAAAGTTGTTAGGTGATTCAGAGTGCTTTCTGGCAGATTCGAAAACATTTTTAAAGTTAGCCCGTTGGTCCCAGAAGAGGATTTATTTTTGATGGTATTTTGTACTGCGAAGCTCTTCAAGAACTACGGGCGAAAAAAAGAAACTGTGTAAGTTTACATTATCATTAGAGAGATAAGAAAGGTGATCATGAGGAGGACATATGGTATTAGTTAAGTTTTTCGCTACATTTACAAAGTAATCGTTAAGGTTCTCAAGTTGTATTAACGCTGCTGGTAGAAACTTATTGCTAGGTTATTAAATGACCTGTTGGGTCAACTTTCGTTTAACTGAAATCAGATATAAGAAAAAAAAAATTTTGTCTTCAAAAAGCTACTGTGGACCACGGAAAACACAAATTTTCCTGCGGAAATGCGTAATTTCCAAATGTCGCATTTTAAAATAACTGAAATCTGCTGTAAAAAAATACATTTTGCGTTTTATTTTTAATATTTTTCTAAACATATAAACACAAAAATTTTCCTGCGGAAATAAGCTGTTTTCTAAGGAAATTTATTAGACTTTAGAATAGCTGAAATCAGTTATATAAAAAATAAATATATTTTTGCCGTTTAGAAGCATTCACGAATTGAGGAAAATAAAAATTTTCCTGTGGAATTAAACTGTATCCATTTTCTGAGGAAATTTAATAGACTTTAAAATAGCTGAAATCAGTTATATAAAAATATAAATATATTTTTGCTTTTTAGAAGCGTACTTTTTACAAACTCTGGAAAATGAAAAAATCATTTCTATATTATATTTCTAGCAATTTAATATCTGTATATAATGAAATTATTTAATTGCTATAAATAGAACCGATAAATAATATATAATTAGAATCCCCGCTTTGGAAACAATTAAATTAAGTTAGGAAAATACGACTTTCAATAAGGTAAAAAAGGCCAAATCGTAATTGTACGTTTTTATCGTTAATTAGTACTGAGAACTATATAATATTAATGGCAACCATAATAGCAAGCCGATAAAAACAATTATCTATTGAGATCTCGTTTCGTTACCCGCCTATATGGGAAAACCAAATGGATGCACTAAAAAACTTCATTATCTACATTATAAATATAATTGCTATAAATTATAAAGATAACGAACCCAATGGTACTGCATTTATTGCCTTAGGTTTGGTCGATTGCTTCATGAACTTGATTTAGAGTGTATTTTCCTCTTTTTTTCCCATATCAACTGTTAAAATTGTCTTATATCTATCAAAAATAGTAGATAAAATAGTACTTTAACCGAAAGGGTAGATTAAATGATACTTTAACAGCGAGGATAGGTTAAAAACTTTATTTCTTCTTGCACGTTTTTTAATTGCTTCCATTTTTGAAGATTCTTCTATTCCTTTTCATAAGTTATTCGGGATTTAAATGGAAGTAGTTTGGATATGGCGTTTGTCGCCTCAGCCTGAATATCTGTTGGTATTTTACTTATTTCGTTTTTAGCCATTTCTGGCTCCAATTCAATCAGCAATCGACACGAAAGAGAATTAAAAAATATTGAATCAAAACCATAGACAAACAAATAAAAAGAGACTGGCAAATTAAATGGCAAAGAGAGGGACAACGTTCCTGTAGCGCAACTCAGAACGCAAAATATCGTTCTATTTATGTTGATCTGCGCATTGCGTCTATTGGGCCCACTATCTCATTCTAATATAACAAGAGAGAAAGAAGCAGCCATATAAAACGTAATTTCTAAATAGAAATTAGAACAATCGCCTTTCGTTTTCGTCATCAAGACAACCAAGATGACAACATCATGACAATTCGTCATGTTTGTTAATTTTTCTTTTGGCGATTTACCTTTTTTTCTAAACTCTCCATTTTATTGACTTATGAATATGGATAGGGAACAAATTCCTTTGTTCCATAAATGTATTTATATTTTGTTACTTATAATTTGTTACTTATAACCTCATCACTGAGTGCGCCGAGACGACAACCATTCGTGCCATGAATTTTGGTACGACTGATATTGGAGATGGAGAACTACCCTCTATAAAACCGTCCCAGATACTGGCTTTTGTCAAAGCCCTGGGACTGTATGATGAGTTATGATTCAAGAAAGGGGGACACAATGGATCTGTAAGGTCGAAGTGATTAACCCCCCTCCCACTCATTCTAAATTCTAAAAAAAAATTCTACTTATAATTTTAGGTTATACTATTTGTTATTTTATTTGCTGCAGGAGCCAGTATCATCTATTTTCTGTAT